TTCCCCTACGTATTATTCTTTCTTGATACGCGTTCGCGACAAGTGCGGGAAGAAACCGCGATCGCTCTCTGTGAATAATCAATGATCGATATCATCGTGCGATCGTTGAATTCCCGCGATTTGTGTCAGTGATTTGTGCGGGTATCAGTGCGACGATGTAATCGAACAGTTCGTAGTGGCACTCGAACTCAGTGACAATCGGACTCAGTGACAATCGGACACAGTGAGAGCCGAAAAAGTGGCATTTGGATACAGTGAGAGCGACAAGTGACTTTACAAGTATAAATTCGCGAGTGTGTTGGAGGACAGCTGAGACAACGACACCTGAGAGGAGGACACCTGAGTGGAGGAGGAGGAGGCATCGGGCGCCATTGCAGAATCAACGTAGATACAATTCCGCCGCTGTGCATCGTGTCGGTTCAGAGGTGTGGAGTGGATCTTGCCTCACGTAGAAAGTTGCGGTAATACTGAAGGAATAGTGTCGGTAGGTGTCGATAAGACAGGTATCCTAACCCCACAACTGTCAGACTTTAACAATTTATAACTCTGTTATTAGTGCCGAGCGACAATTTTAACTTGCGGATTCGTGTTTTACAGGCAAAAATACACGATCCTGTAAATTTTCATCAAAATCGGTGAGGAGGCCCCTCTCCTTCAGTATTACCATTTTTTTTATTAAAGTAACGGTAATCTACATTTTTAGATCGTAGATTGTAAATACATTTCGTAGATCCGTTACGTTAAAATGGATAGGTTACAAATAATTTCGCGTTTTATTTAATATATTTAATTTAAAAAAAATCGTTGAACTACATCATAGATAGAAATTACGCGAAATATGACGAATATTATCGATGTATTCGGCCAAGTAATCTCTCCTTTCAGAAGTAGTATATATCAATATTCCTTAATGTTTAATTACGAACTTATTTTATTTTACTTATGATACTTAGGCACCAATGATTACCTCCGTAACTTCGACACGCTAGACCGATTCTGTATGTCACTGTATAGAATCACCGTACTGTATATATAAAACAATGGAGTATAATCTGCGGATTTAGAAATAAATATAAATCTAGCATTTTAAATTCAGCAAAAACATTCTGCTGATTAATTATTTATTACGTCATGATAATATAAATTGCTAATAAGATATAGTACATAATATATGAAGTTTATATAACGTGTGGCATCGCGATGCCAGAGAAGTTTCGAAAAGTCATACCGCATAGCAATGAGTGCGTTTCGGCAAGACACTGCTACCGTAGCGCTACAGCTTTTTTGCTACAATTGTAGCGGCGCCATACTTACATAACAAAATTATATTTTAATTGTAAGAGTCGCGTTTACCAATTAATGGAAACGAATAGAATGGAAAATTCGTAAGAATAACTCACGGACAGGTTTCCGTTCAACCGTAATGTATGATTGGCCTGTTTTGAACCTTTTTATCTAAAAAAACTACTGCTCGGAACGAAAAATGGCAAATAACTTTTTAATTTATTTTTTCGACGACATTCTTGCTATGGTATTTTGATTCGCGAATTTCAGGACACCCTGTATAATCTATCTTATATATATATATATTGTATTTCCGGTAACGAGTTTTCATTCGGTATACTAACTTGTAGCTTCGTAACTGCTATCTTCCCTTCTTTTATATTTATCTCGACTTTACTTAGCAAGTCTGTTCCTATTAATAATTCATATTGCATAAAAGTGTCTGAAATTACATGTATTGTGATCGGAAAATGATTATTATCAATTTCAATAATTGCATCGAACTCTCCTAGTGTTGTATTATTTTGTGACCCAATTTTTCGAAATTTATATAATTTCTTTTTTAACTAACTTAGGTGATCCTAATTTAATATATCGTTCCGCCCGCATCAACGACAGATCGCTCCTTGTATCTATTAAGGCCGTAAGATTTTCATTATTTATTTTCACTCCTTTATTATATTTTCCGTTCGTAGTTTTAGAAACATTGCAACTCTCTTTTACTACCTCATTTTTTTTTACATTCTGCCGCGATATGACCGAATTCCTGACATTTAAAACATTTTCGGCCCTTACTTTTCATTGGGCAATCTGTCGCATAGTGAGTCAGTAACCCGCAATTATGACAACGCTTAGTAATCTTTGCTGCTTCGCCTTTTCCTGTCTTCTTACCAGTCTTCTGCTGCTTCAACTTCTCTTCGTTCTTTGGATACGTACCAGTATGATGACCTCTCCCACGTAGCGATACCTTGTCGAATGCTTCCAGTAAGCTTTCCTGCGACTTCAGCCGTTGCACTCGTGCCTGGTTCCTCAGCATTTGGTCGGGGATACCTTCAATGATATATTCGATGATCTCGTCGTCCTCGATCGGAACACGATCCGCCAAGATTACTTTATCGTGTAAGTAAGAACTGAACGTTTCCTCCCGCTTCCACGTTCGTTGTTCGAATTGTCTCCTCGTTAGAATCTTACTGGGTCGATGATAAAACATTTCTCTCAGTTTCCCAAGAAGATCGTTCACAGGCATGGCAATGTACTCTGATCTTGAATGCAGCCATTCCAATGCCTTTCCTTTAAGACGCGATCCCATCATAACCTTCGTCAGATCATCTGTAAGTTTATATGCACTCTTCAAAAATATGACTTGCTCTTCCCATGTCTCGTATGCGTCGCTTCGTCCATCAAAAGTACTCAGCAATTCTGCAATCGATGTTATATCTAATCGTGGAGATGCTTCACCATTATTTGTGAGCCTCGATTCTCGTACTACTGCTATAGGATTCACTTGTGGATTTTCTTCTAACGTCTCATTGCAGCTATTGACGCTTATCTGCCGCATATTTTGTAATAACTCAATCTCACGTTTAGCTAGTTCGAGTTCCTTCCTTGCTAGCTCTTGTTCTTTTCGGCTGTTCTCTAGTTCTCTTCGCAGGAGCGCCGCCCTCTTGTCCATGCCATCGTTCGCCAAATCCGCTGCTCCATCCTCGTCGTCATTTACTTGTGTATCCTCGGGTAACGTCGAATCCGTCAAGTACATAGGGTCGATCTCCATTAACCTCTTAATAGGTTAGGAGATTCTACTCGCTCACTTCCTATCAACGCTCCTTGCTCGCTCGCTTGTCACCTAACGCTCTCTGCCCTAGTGATGCCTGATTCTTAATCGATGCATCGAGAATCGATTCTTTTTTATTAAAAAGAATCGATTCTTTATCGATTTTTGTGAAATGTCGATTTATTCTTAAATCGATTATTTTCAACTTGAATCGAGATGACAAAACTTGCTCTAGAGCTCTTGCAGAGCTGCGTTCGAAAACATCCCGAGCCTCGAGTCCCGGCATTAATGTCTTCCAACCTAAGTTGAATGCGTTTTGGAACACATTCAAAATCGTACAACTACGAGTTATTGGTGCATCGAAACTGGCAAAGCCACAAGCACCAATAATCTCTAGAGTTCTAAACAATAAAGGTGCCTTTTCACGCGTCGCCGTCGATGGATTTCTCGGTACGTGATTGGCCGTCATTATAGAGTTGGCAGCGACAAAAGTAATGACGGCCAATCACGTACCGAGAAATCCAGCGACGAGCGACGCGTGAAATGGCACCTTAAAGACCGGTTTCACCACTGATCTTTCAAAACTTTCAAAACAAAACAAATCTTTATTAACCTATTTTCTTGGCATCAGTTTTATGTGCAGAGCAAACGGGATTATAAACGTTTATAGTTTATAAGGTATCATAGTATAAAACTTATTAATATATGTGTTGTCATATACACATTTATACATTACACATTATTGATATAAAATTTGTCTGTATAGGTGCCAAAAAAATCGGTCCCTGTAGGAAACTAAACGAATTAAAAAAAAGTAGTATAATTATACGGAACCCTCCTTTTTCATTACATATTCTTGTAGCTCACTTCAATAGCTTTCCAAAACGCTATAATAAAGTACGTTTTCGTCCTTCGAATTACGCTGTTAAAATACGTAGTGATTTCTAATTTTACTTCAAAACGTTAAAATTACCATTCAAATGAAATTATGTTTCCGTTAAATATTTTTTCAGTTTACTGTCCGATGTTAAAATTACATGATTTATTGTAACATTCCCTTTAAGATAGTAAATTAATGGCGCGCACAGCATCCCAGGCAGCAACGTCACGTGATTTTCACGTTAATTTTTGGTCAGTCGTAACGTCATTTATCCTTTTATGAGTACGTAATAATAATGTAATATGATGATAAAGTTTTTGAGAAATGTCTGTGGTTGCTGTAACTATCGCAAATTATCTTTAATGATTTCCAAAAATTTCAAATGTCTATAACTCAAGAACTAATTAATCATATTTTAATGAATCATATATGAAATTTTGATAGAAAAAACTGAAGAACAATATAATATATAATTAGAAAAAAGTAAAGTAAAGTAAAGTGTGCAAATTAGAAATTTACGTCATAACGAAACGTGAAAATGACGTGTTATTATAACCTTTTTACTCTATTTTGACGTAAGAAAGACGTCATTTTAATATTTTAGAAAAAATAAAAAATATATAGTACATATTTATTTTACATTTATTTATTGCTGATATGTAATTTATCCGGCACAAAATGGCAATCGGCACTA